CCTTCCTTCCTTCCTTCCTTCCTTCCTTTCCTCCCCTCCCCTCCCCCCTCTCCCCTTCCCTTCCCTTCCCGCTGTTTTGACGCTCCTCGTCTTGCAGGAGGAGAATGCACCATGTGACGTTCAGCAGCTCAGGGCAGCTGAAGTGAGAGACTGGCCTCCGTTCCCTGTTTCTACCAGCAGGTGGCACAGTCGCCCCAGTGGAGTTTCCCAGGGAGCCAATTGAATGACTTGCTTCAGTTTCTTTGGAGGCACTTTCCGCCCAGCTGGACCATCAAACCGTTCCTTTCTGGCGGGTTTGCCTGATCTTGTCCAGTGACGGCCATCTACCAGGACACACCGTGCCGTGAGAAGCTGGTGTGGAAGTTCTAGAGACTCTTGTATTTCTTTAGATCACACCTAATGCATTAACTACTACACTTTGTAGACCGTTTTAAATCCTAGCCATGTTCCTCTTGCCGCCCAGTGTACTTAAAAGCACATTGCTCAGAGCACCATTTCAAGAGGAAATCCACTTGTAAAACAAGGTCTACTTTACACAGTGACACTCCGGGTCGGCGGCCAACCCTGTGACCGTCAAGTGGTATCGGTGGAGGTAACTTCGGCAGCCGCCATCCAGATTCGAACCCTGGCTCTGCCTCCGTGTCATCCTCTTGAACTCTCTTCGCCTGGATTTCTCGGCTGTAAGGGCCACAGTACCTTCTACATTGGGTCGTGGCCATGATTACATGACGCCGATCAAAGCATTTGAGAAGAAGCTGGCACGTAGTGAGCAGTCAATAAGTGTTAGCTCTTATTCAGCTCCACTGTGCCCAATCGCAAGGCCCCCACTATGATAGAAAAGGACCTTTCGGTAGAGTTTATTGATCTCTTTTGAGATCTTCGCATACGTTGCTGGATTTTCTTCCATCTCTTCCATACAGCACTTTTCTTGTGGCTAGATTCTATTTTACAAGACGACGATGTTGTTATAAAGTCTTTTGGAAATTGTCGCAGAGAGGGGTAGTTCAACCAAATTCGGCTCATGAGGAGGTGGTCAGAATAGAGTTGCCTGCCTTGAATCACGCCGGCCTTCTCCTCAACCCATACCAACCCCCCAGGGATGGCCATGTTCACCGCAGCTCTCTGCGACACTTTCCCTCCACACGGGTTCTCCAGGGGATGGTGCTGTCCACGAGACTCTTCCTGGAGAGGGTGGCTCGCTGTGCCCAGGCAGTGTCCTGGCTGGAGCTGGCATCATGGGGCCTGAAGTGAGAACCTGTACCACTTCTGCCCAATGCCAGACTCCAAACAGGCACACCCCGTCAGGCACCAAGGTTAGTTCCCAACTGCCGGTCAGTATTTAACTTTCCACATAAGATTAGATTAAACATTAGGGTTCATAAAAGCCTAGGATTGCAGATTGCGGTTAGCAAGGGCTTAGTTGGCTGCCAGCTGAAAGTACCCTGGGGGGCTGAGGTCCAAAGCCTGGCTTTATAGCAGGGAACTTCACACGGCTCACACTTCGCATCGGTAAGTTTCCGTTGCAAATTCTTAATTTTTTGAGGAATTAAGTAACGAAGCTATCTAGTTCCTTTTCCAGATAATTCTGAAAGGAATGATTTTCCTGGTATAAGACCTGGCCTTCCCTCCTTTCCTCCCTCCCCGCTTCCCTCCTCCCTCTCTCTCCCTTCCTCCCTCCCTCCTTCATCCTCTTCCTCTCTCTTTTTTTTGGGTAGCATTTTCCTTACTTGTTTCTTTAGCAATTGACTTTGGATGAAGATTTTGAAAGTTTCGTATGGGAGTTTCATAGTAAATGTAGATAATCATTTTTCTCTCCCCTTTATGTATGAATGAAAGATTCTGTTGCCTTTTGTAAGACAGGGTGATGCTAGTGATTCACCATCTTTCAAACAAAGAGAACTTTGGATTTGGGGATCAAGTGGGTGCTGTTCTCATAATGTCAGATTGTGACTGTCACAGCTAAAACTAGGGGGTCATTATGTGTCCTGTAGATGGGGAACAACTCATTGATGCATGTGAGCTCAGACATGGTCTTGGTCTCATTTCTTTTGCCCAGTAGAGCCAACCAGCCACCGGTGACAGACAGAGAGTTATAGGAATGTGTGACCTCTGCTAGCACAGAGTAGATTATGGGCGCTAGGCTGGTGGCTTGGGTTTCTTGGTCCAGCACTGTGACGGGCATGTAAGCCCTGTGGCCTTGGACAGGTGATTTAAGCCCTGTGAGCTATAGTTATTTCACTGCCATGTGAGCAGGCCGACTTCATGTTTTTTTGAGCAAGGACAAATTATTGAAAATGCCTGAAATATTTAGAGCCCCATGTATTACACCGAGCCATATGAAATTGTCAACATTTGAGCATCTTTAAGCAATACAAATGGCAATTTTCAAATGGTTCAACAGAACATAAATGATGGTTGCTTTCACGTCGCTAAAGTAAACACCTATTCTACTTAGAAGAGGGATAAGTGTGTATTCCGAATATGGTCAGTGTCCCTCAATTGAATAGTTATTCTGGGTATCAGAGATGTAAACCTATCTGAGTGTGTTTTAGCATCCCCATCAATGAGATTGCTTTCATGCACCGTGATTTGGTTATGGCCTGTGGTTTTGGAACAGGTCACAGACTGCTCAGCTATGGCTCAGGTGACAGGGTTCAGAAAGGGGATTCACCCTGGACTGGACGTTTGCAGCCTGGCTGGGGGCAGCACTCAGGCACTTAATCCCTATAGGTCGTGGTCACTCCACGGTTAAGTCTTATCAAAAAAGCGTCTCCTGATCTGCTTGGCAGCTGGCCTTTGTCCGCGTTAGAAGAGCTGAACGAACAAGCAGTGGTATTAGCTCTCACAGTCCGTGAACGCTGCCATGGCCACACCTTTAAGCAAACCCAGCGACTCCTGTGGAATTCGTCGCCAAGGTCCTTCAGCTCTCGGATACTCTGTTGCAGAGATTTTTGGGTGGGCAGAGGTCCGAGGAGTTCCCTAAAGTGAACGAGAGCTTTGTATGTGCCTAGGTACACTTCTCTGGGGAGAAATCAAAATCGTTTTATTTTATCTTTCAAGGGATCTGTGAGCCCTTCCCTTCCCCACCCTGCCCCTGCGAATAAGTTAAGAATCACTGTTCTAGTAGTTTCCAGTTGAATTCCACAGTTCACAGGAGAGGAACATTTCTTCACTCACCGCTTAAAAGGTCTGCTAAGATCAAAGATGAATAGAGCAAGCCCTGCCCTCCCGCAGCTCAAGCTCACCTGTGACTGTGATTCCGACGACTTCCGCTCCGGCATCGGCATGGGCATCGGGTTCCTGACTGTGCAGCAGAACTAGCGATCCCGGCGTCAGAGCGGTTTCCCACACCGCGTGAATGAGCACGCGGGAAATGGGGAATTGATAACGAGCGAGCAAACTGACAAGGCTGTTTGCAGAAGAAGTGCAGGAGAGGGATCTCCCAGCGGGACGGGGAGGTGGAGGAAAAACTGGTGGAGGAGGGGTCCCCC